GTTTGCCTCATAAGAAAAAGTTTGATTTCTGTCTTCATACAGATGAGGTGTCCTGTGGCAGGGGTATTGGATATGCCCAGGTGACTGGGACACAGCAAGATGGATGTGATCTCAACATAATGGAGAAGATTCTAACATCCTGAGATGTCTAAGCATGAACAGGGTTGCCTTTATTATTTAGACTTCTAACTTGTTCCAAAAACTACACAACATATCACTGAATAAACTAAAAGTCAGAGGAGAAATCAGGGCAAAAAGCTGTACCTGGAAAACTAACAGCTGCAAAGCTACCAACCATAGGCAGTGAGTTACATTTTTAAGGCTCCCCAGCCCACAGTCTCTGTGAGTCTACGTTCAAATTCCCTTCCAAGAGTCAGGACTACTTTAGCCAATAGACCCTAAGGTGGGGTTAATTGAGATGGTACTGGACCAGTTACAAAGTCACACCTGAATCCTGCCCTCCTCACAAGTTTCCCAAAGGAAAGCATAGACTAAGGAGGAAGAAGAATCTAGCGCGCTCTAGAGCTTTAGCCCTAAACCTCAGAGCAGAATTCTACCAAGCTGACAATATCCTGCAGAAAACTCCCTTTACCTAAGCCAGGATATCGTGATGGCCTAGAGTGAAGTACTTTGATTATTTTACCCCAAAGACCAAAATTGAAGTCTTGGACCTTACCACTCCCTGTCTGAGGAAAGTTCACACCTGCCAGTGAAAATCAGAAGAAAGTAAATAAAACTAAAGAAAACCAGAAAGCAACCTAATGCCCTGCTGACCTAGGCCACCCACCCTGGGACTTTCTCTGCTCAAGGAGAGCCAAACAATTTGGACTGCTGTCCTCCTAGGGCTTCTCTTGATCATCACCATGCAGGTTCTCCTCACCTGTCTGCCCAGTTAGTCTCTTGTTCGTGACTTCCATGCCATCATCTTTCTTGCTTGGTTCTCTCATTTAGCTGGAGTACATCCTCCAATAGCTTTCTGATAAGTGGGCTGTCAACAGAGGTTAACGACCTCTAAAATGTAGAG